TTTAGCATTAAGAACAATGTAAAGGCCTGTTTTACACCGAACAAAAGGTGCTGAAAACAACCGAACAGACTGAAAATCAAGCTTTATTGAGTGACTAAAAGCAGGTTTGGAATAGGAAGCGTTATATAAGGAAGAAATACATTTTGGAATGTACAATATTGGTGTATTTTGTGCAAACAAGCAGCACTAGTTCCCTGTGTGTAACAGTAAGACTGTACAGTACAGCAGACACAAGACAAGCAAAAGTCTGCATTCATCTGTGTGGCACTGGATAAAAAAAAAAGTCTTGGGCACTTGTTCACTTCTTTAGAATATGAACATAACAAAACATCACATCACAAAACATGGTGATCATCAATTAAATGCATGTCTTCAGATAAATATTTAGGCACAAGGCCAATTCATAATAACACTGCACATGTGTTTGTGCTGCTAGATCATATGAGTTTGTGAAACATCACTCATTCATACTGCTTTTTTTCTCTAAATTATGAACATTAATGTGCATTTTTGAGAGAAGTTATCATATTTAATAAAAAGGTAAGATTTATAATGGTGAAAAAATATTAACCCTTTCATGCATGGTGTCCAGATTTGCAGACATCAAATTGAACTCAATATTAGGTTTATTATTAAAGTCATTTTCTCCAAACAACTTGAGGTCAGTGGACTGGCAGCAGTATAGTAACTGTGCCAACTATCTTGCATTACAAATACATTTGTTGCTTGATGACATTACTATTACAAGATGACTGATGGAATGGGCGTTCTCAGTGGTTATCAGCTGATAGATATGGGCCAGTAGTGGCCTTCTGTGCCTACTGGTAGGCTCAGAAGGCTGTTATCATCAATACACATGGTTGATTAGCTTTAGATCACATACGGCTGCGGCCTGAAGTTAACAAGTATTATTTTAATTATTTACTAAATTTCCCATTAATTGTATTGTATTAACGTCTACCCCAACCCTAAACCCAACCACCACAGTAATGTAAAAACAGATCTGGATCTGGGGTCTTCTCTATTAGTATAGCTGATTAACCATGTCCAAGGCCCCTACTGGCTCATATCAATCAGTTAATGACCACTGATAACGTCCATTCAATAGAGTGATAACATTCAAAGAGGATGACTAATGATAGCCATGATGAGTAGATGTTAGTATTTCATAAACTCAAATTTGACATAAAATGTAGTGTGTGGACATCATGCAACAATAGTGTCAGATACATTGCAAGTCTGATTTCTGGTATCTGCTAGATTTTCTATTACATTTTATATAAAATTGTAAATGTAAATGTTATTTAAGACTTTCACACAAAATAATGTGTATGACTAAAGTCATAATTGAACTAAACAGAATTGGAATTAAGACATGTGGAGTAGGTCGATTTCAGTTGCATTATTGAAGTGCAGTACAGACATATAAACTATTACTGTCGTGTAGGATTTTCGCCACATTTTGCGAGAGGATGGTCTGCTCACAAACGTCTGTTTGTCATTGTTCTCTGCACCTACAGAGTCAGCCCCCCAAAGCACATGAAATTCAGCAGAAAATGAGGTGATGCAATGAAGTTAATCGAATTATGTGCTATAACTGCTTTAATCTAGTTATTAACTTATTCAGATCAAGGCAAATAACTACTGATGTCCGTGTAAACATAGTTACTGTTAATAATTGATTACTATATGTTTCATATTGACCCATTTTATTAACTTTGTTGCATGTTGTTCACATATTTTTAAATCAAACAGAATTTTGTAAAAATTGTTGACAAGTTTACCATCATATTAAAGTACAATCATAATGGTTTTCATAATTCATGCATGAAAGGGTTTAAAGGCACAATATATAATTTTCACCACCAGAGGGCGCGTATTAACAAACAAAGGCAAAGTTTTGGAGAGGGTGCTCGCTGCAGAGCCATTTGAGCAGAGCTGAGCTCCAGCGAGGGGGAGCATGAGCTCTCGTTCTGCCTCCTGTAAGCTGTTTTAATGGGTACACCAACCCCACCTTTAACCCTACCCCCAGTGACATTACTCGTAAAAGAAGTGCAAAAAAGGTGGAGCTCAGCTCGCCCAAATGGCTCTGCAGCGAGCACCTCTTGACAGAATGTGGAATCATGGGAGATGTGGTTTTCATTACATCCAACAGGACTCACAAATGTAATTTTCACTAAATTGATTAAAATGTATTATCTTATTATAAAGCAGCATGAGGCTGAAAACTGTTGAAGCAAAGCAGTCTAATACATTAGTGTCAAAGCCAGTTCCTGGAGAGCCGCAGCTCTGTACAGTTTAATTCTAACACCAAATTAAACACACCTGATCAAACTAATTGTGTCCTTCAGTCTTGTTTGAAACCTACAGGTAAGTGTGTGGAAGCAGTGTTAGAGCTTAACTGTGTAGAGCTGTAGCCATCCAGGAACTGGCTTTGACACCTGTGGTCTAATAAAATGCAAAAGATATTAAAGCTAATTGGGTGTGTCCATGTTAAACAAAACTGGAAATCGAGGGTGTATGACATCATTAGCAAAACATCTTTATGGTCCATGTCACTGAAATTGCTTATTTCTCTGGATTTGAACACTTAAAACACTTCTATTTGGCTTTTGGATATTTTAATGGAAAGCTCTTACATATTGTGCCTTTAAAATATTTATTTTACCATATCTAAATACCATATCAAGTGATTGGTTTCTTGCATATTAAGGTTTACAGTGATTAGATGTAACTGCATCATACTGCACAAACATTGTAGCAACCACATCTGCGCACATCACACAATCAGACAAGCACATTTAAACTGTGGCATATTCAATAAATATTCCTGATATCTCTTAAAACATACTTCTGGCCCAATAATGGCTATACTGGCCAATACAGTGACATCTTTTTAGGAGTTGACGGCTTACTCGTTTACAAATATAACATTCCATTCGATAGTTTTTTAGAATTGCAGAACTTTACACATGCTGTTAGTTTGTCAAGTTCCCTTTTTAATCTGAGTGGTATAAAAAGAATAACATACAGTAGAAATATTCACCTTACTGGAAAGCAGTTTTTGAGTCAAAAGTGAAGAACAGAATAACAATCTAAATCAGGGGTGCCCAAACTCCTGCATTGTTTAGCTCCAACTTCCTTCAACAAACCTGCCTGGAAGTTTCTTGTAGCTTGATTAGTTGGTTCAGGTGGGTTTGATTGGGGTTGAAACTAAAATATACAGGACACCAGCCCTCCCGGACCGAGTTTGGGCACCCCTGATCTTGATTCTTTCTTAAAGCAACAGTTTCAACCAAAACTAGATTCTGCAATTTCATTTACACCCGGAAAATTCAGGCTTGACTGTACACATCTTCATGTTGTTCCAAATACCTTTGATCTCTTCCATTCTATGAGGAAAAACAGGTGTATTTTTTGGGGTTGGAGGGGCTGGGGTATAATGGAATAATGAACATTCTCTTTCATACAATGAAAACCTACAGGGGCAACAAAAAAATTAGTCGGTAAAATGAACAACAGCAACAGATTTACATACCAAAACGACTGAAAGAAAAATGGACTTAATTTCTCGTAAAAACAGCAACAGATAAAGTCACTTATGTTTATATGTTTATATAAATGCTGAAATATTATAACAGTTGTTACCCTAAATTAAACAACATCTACCACCATTACAATCACATTTTGCACCATAAAATATGTTGATTAATGGTTATGTAAATGTTTTAAAACAAAGTAACTAAAAGAAAAAAATCTGACTCAGCTTAAAATTGATGGAACAAACTTCAGGACATTTTTGAATTAGCTCAACTTTTAACCAAAATACTGCACTTGACTCGATTAAAGTTGAGTAAACTAAAAAACATCCTATAGTTTGTTGTCTTAAAATTTTAATTCAACTTTTTTATTTATTTATTTATTTTTTATAGTGTAGCTAGTTTAAGTAGCTTTTATTAGTTTTAAATAAATTTTATCTGGGTTGAGCATTTAAATTATGGTTAAATTGGGTAATGAGCTTTCAAAAAAATTTATTATTATTATTATTATTATTATCACTAGTAGTAGTAGTATTATGTGTGCACAAAAAAAACTTATCTATGCTGTCAAACCCAAAAAGTTGAGGTAACTCAAACCATTTAAGGAAACCGATTGCAACAAACCACTTAAGTTCAAAAACTAATCCTAATGAGTACTGTCAACTTAATCCATTTGAGTAAACAAAGCAATTAGAGCACAGAAAAACCCAACTAATCAAGAGAACTCAACTTATTGGGTTTTACCGTACTCAGTTGGTTTAAAGCTCAACTCAAACCGTTGAGGAAACCGATTGTGACAAACCATTTGAGTTAAAAAAAAAAAAAAAACGAATCTATACGAGTACTGTGAACTTACTTCATTTAGGTTGAAGTAATGAGGTATTTAATTAACTCATTAACTTCAACACTGACTTCAAAACTCTTTTCAAATGAGTAGAATAAACTTTCAGTAGATTTTGAGTTAACTACACTCATTTCATTTGATAAAGCTGACTGAACATCAAGCATAGTTTAATTTCAAGTGAAACTGAAATGACCAGTGTGTGGAAATGCACTGAAACAAAGGCTTGAATCGTTCAATTCAAATAAACAAACACTTGAAGCTTTGCAAACACTCATAAAATCAAGATTGTCAGGGGCTCCCTCATTCACACCTGGTGCACTAAAATTTTCATTTAAAAGCATAAAATAAAGGCAATTTGTGAAGTGACTTTCCCTACAATAGTCTCAGATCTACATTTAATAGTTCTCATTCATCACAAATTCACTTGTGCAATTGTATTGTATCACATGGTCGCCCACTGAAGCTAAGCAGGGCTGCGTTTGGTTAGTACCTGGATAGGAGACCACATGGGAAAGTTATGTTGCTGTCGGAAGTGGTGTTAGTGAGACCAGCAGGGGGCGCTCAACCTGCAGTCTGTGTGGGTCCTAGCACCCCAGTATATTGATTGGGACTCTATACTGCTCAATGAGCACTGTGGATGCTGCACACTGCTGGTGGATGAGGAGATTCCCCTAAAATTGTGTAAAGCGATTTGAGTGTCCAGAAAAGTGCTATATAAATGTAAGGTTTTGTTATTTTTATGAATTATTATTACATCATTTTATAATACAAGCTAATAATATATTTATTGCTTACTTTGATATACAAATGAAGCACAAAATATGTCAGTGCTATAATCCCTCAAAATACTAGATTTGATTTTAGAGATTGTTGATTTGCAACAAATTTTGGAGAATTCATCATAACTTCTTCATATGACTAAGAATATAGAGCAGCATTTGTGGTCATAATTCACTTGAAGGATCAGGGTCAGTATAAAGCATGTTTTATAGGACATTGTATTTGAACAACCTGAGGGTAAATAGCAGAATTCATATTTTTGGTAAACTGTTCCTTTAAATAATGAAACCATTGTTGTTTTTTAAACTTGTAACCTATTATGACGAAGAAACAGAAGCTCATTTCATTTTCTTAAAGGTGAGGGTGTCACAAACGAGGCCACAACAACACAACTTCAATGCAATACGAGGGTCTAGGTTTGGCACAAGGGCGGCAGCGTTAAGGAATAAGTGCAAGTGTTTATTTGTAGAGATGAGAGTGCTATTGTAGATAACGGTATACTTTAAAACAGTGGTTCCCAGAGTCTGCCACCACAACATGGCCATCTGAGGTCAGAGCCAGACCTTGTGGGCCATAAAGAGGGTCTGCGGATGTGTTGATGTAGGACAGAAATGATCCACTGCTGTCAAACACCTGGTAGAGATGATATAAAGAAGTTAACTCGTACATCATCCAGGACCTAAATATATGTGATGACATTTTAATTAACATCTTAAAAGACATAATAGTTTACCCAAAACTGAAAATTCACCCACTTATGTACTCAGCCTCAAATGGTACCATCCAAACCTATATGAGTTTATTTTTTTAAGGAACATGAATTGTTTCATGTTAAACCTACTTAAATTTAGAAAAAACAATTATGTTGTCCCCCAAAAACACACACACACATATATATATGAGCAATATCACACTCGTAGCAGTGCGATATGGCTGTATATCGGCACTGGTGAGAGGCATGCGTTGCCACAAGGCCGTAGGCCGAGTGCCTTAGTGCCCCCACCAGTGCTGATATACAGCCATATTGCACTGCTACGAGTGTGATATTGCATTTATACAACAGTTTGACGGCATAATTGTGTATATAAAAACAAAATCAAACATGGAGAGTTTCAAAAATTTTGAATTTTGTATGAGGAACTACTTTCTTCTGTGTTATATTCAAATCATAAGCTGACAGTTAAACAGCTGAGCAAGCATCTTTTAAACTTTAGATCTGTAGTGTCTGCTATTTGCTGGCTGTATGTAGGCGGTGTAATACACAAAGAGTAAAGAGACTATACGGGTGCTGATATTACTTAAATATATCATGGCTATCAGCCAATCAGGTTCGAGAACCAGACAGAACTGTTGTATGTATATATATATATATATATATATATATATATATATATATATATATATATATATATATATATTTCCTCAGATTCACCTGTGCTTTGTTTTATAGAGAAAGTCACACACAAACATGTGGGTATACATGTGCACTGACACTGAGCAGAAGAAACTATTGAATTAAGTAGTTTTTTTTATGTGCACAGAACTATTCTTGTAGCTTTATAATATTCAGATTAAACTAGTAAAGACAGATGGACTGTTTTGACACCTTTTTGTAATTTGAATCAGGGGGGTACTGTCTATTGAGGATAAGGGAGCTCTCAGATTTCATCTAAAATATCTTAATTTGCATACCGTGATGAACAAAGGTCTTAGGCTTTTGAATTATTGCAATTTTTTTTTTTTTTTTTTTTGTCTATGTCAAATTTAAAATATGTAGTAAAATGTTAGATCAGCTAAGATTGTTACCTGGATCCTGCTGTTGCCCCAGTCAGCCACTATAATGTTACCATTGGCATCTACTGCCACACCCGTTGGAGCATTAAACTGTCCATTTCCTTCACCGTTTGAGCCAAACTTCAGTATGAATTCACCCTCTGGACTGAACACCTACAATATCAAGTCATAAACTGCATTAATACAATATATACAGTACAAGACAATCTGTTGTTCAAAAAGTAAGCATAATTATGGTGAAAATGGCTCCCATAAGCCTGGTTTATACTTCTGCGTCAAGTGATCGGCATGCAACACGCGCAGCTGTTCATTAATACTTCTGTGCGCTGTTTCTGTTGCTCTGCAATAACACTTCTGAAACGCTTGTTGTCAGTGAGGTGTTTATATTCCTCTGTGTCGAGTTTCTTCGCTGGAGTTTTTTATTTATGTTTCCTTTATGTACAAGTGGTTTAAACTTGCTCAAACTCGCAAAAGTCTAAATTAGCCTTTAGGCAGTGTGTCCAGCAATGCATTTGCATATTTTTCCAGTTTTCATTAGGAGTATTTTTTTTTTAAACCCAACCAGTGTGACTTTGGGTATTAGACAGCACTGATCTCTGCCACTTTTTATCCAGCTGTCCAATCACAGTGGAGGAAGGGGTGGAGAAAATTCTGCTCCAACCAACCGTGACTAAATAGTTTTTACAAATTTAAATTTTGAATTTAATTTTGTTCGTTCTGTTCTGACATTTTAAGTTATAAGATTACAAATGAAATCAATTCCAAGTAACAGGCCACTGAAAACCTTGAAATATTGAAATACAATGCTGAAGTCAGTTATTCTGCTTGAAAATGCCTGTTACAGTACGTGCCGAAACACTGTCTTTGTTTTGGTCTCTTTAACCCGCCCACTGCCACTTTAGCCAATTGTATTTCAGCACTTCGGGTTGCCTTGTTTGAAAACAAAGCATATTTCATTCATTCAGTCAGGAAGGCTCTTAAAGCATGTGTTCATAACCGAAATGCGATCTTTGGTGGACAGATTCAGAGTTCCACATGAAGTTATTAATTAGCAAATAATATAAATATTAGGAGTGTTAACATTAGGTGAGCAGGTTACGTTGTAACCCCGTATCCTAAAAACACGCTATGTGACCATATATGCAGTGATAAGCAATTTGGCTGTTTGTACCAGACGAAACATGACAGAAATTTAAATACAGCCATTCAAAAGTGCACACTCACAAAATATTAGGTTTATAGTCTAATTAATACATATTAAACCTCTTCAGGCAACACAGTGACACAGTGGGTAGGACAAATGCCTCACAGCAAGAAAGTCGCTGGTTTACCCTCGGTTGGGTCAGTTGGCATTTCTGTGTGAAGTTTGCATGTTGTCCCCGTGTTCGCGTGGGTTTCCTCCTGGTGCTCCGGTTTCCCCTACAAGTCCAAAGCTATTTCTAATACATCAATTTGAGCTGTTGATTACAACAAAACCTCCTTTATGAGGAGAATATTCCTTCTATCATGTGCCATTGCTTTTATTTAGAACACAGTTTAAATCAGCCTTTAGGCTCGATCGTCACACTCACTCCTGTTGGTCCTCAATCTGGCAATCTGCGCTCGAGTTTGTTTGATCCAGAAATGCAATAAATAGTTCAACCAATGGGTGTAAAACATGCATACTGCACTAAACAGTGAGAAAACCTATCATCCAGTTAAATTGTTAGGTTGGCTACACTTTATTTATTTATTTATTTATTTATTTATTTTTAATCGGCCACATAGTTAATTTACTTTACTCAATATATTTTTAGGGCATCGGGCTTTACTAATTATTTGAAGTCAACTAATTGATTTTTTGGCATTTCCAAAAAAAAAAAAAAAAAAAAAAAACATTTTTTGGTGGACACAGCGCAATATATCATGACATTTGATTAAAATATTAACAAATTGGCAATATACTTCAGAACAGACATTCTACCTTTACAGAATGATTGTGGAAATCGGTCACAATGACTTCATTATTCTGATTCACTGCTGCAAAGTGAGGACCTATAAAAAGGAAAGAAATAAGTGTTAGCTTGCCCTTTTATGTGCTTCCAGAAATTACTTTGTCATAATTACAACTTTGACCCTGTTTCTGCCTGGTATTACCATGCATTGTAAGTGACAATCACAAGCAGTTATGCTTATCACGCATTACCATTTCTAGCTGATATTAACATCAGTTTAAATGCATTTTTAGTGACCTCAACTTCAAAACACTCTACACCAATTTTGCAGGAGGGCTCATTGTGATGTTGTGGCATTCCAAATTCATAACACGTCTTTGATTCAACCACGTGACCAAAATTAAATCAAATAACCAAAATCAAATCAAGAAAGCAATCTGATCAAATGTATTTACTCTGAAAGTGGTGTAAAGTGGACAAGCTCAAAAGTTGTAGACACCATTTTATATTTGTGTTTGTGTGCATATGTAACATACAGTATGTAAAATATACATCAAATACTTGTTTATATTAGTAAATATAAATGACTGTAATATTTTAATGTTAATAGAACACAGTATAGAAGTGTAAAAAACAAGTTAGTACAGCAAAATTTCTTTCCTACATCATATTTAATTATGACTGCTCAGATATAAAATCTTTTAACTTCTTATAATTTGGGAGACTATTCATTTATTTATTTATTTATGACAACTTGTACAAGAAGGCTGTATCCATTAAGTCCCCATATGTAATGAGAGCAAGCACCTGCAAATTGCTTGTCACTGTTGCCTCGGTTGCCAAACTTGGAGACCAGTTTTCCATTAGGCTGGAAAATGAAGACGCAGCAAGATTTATTGTCTACCACAATGATGTGGCCATTTCTGTCAACAGATACACCCTTAGGACCCATGAGCTTCCCTGAGCCAATTTTACTCTAGAAAAAAGGCACAAAAGAAAAAAAAATCAATATGTTACATGCTTTAAAGAGATAGTTCACCCAAAATTGAAAAATTCTGTCATCATTTACTCCCACTTCACTTGTAACAAAAGTGTTTGAGTTTCTTTTCTCTACACAAAATAATATGTATATATTTTTTTTAATTGTTAGAAACCATTGACTTCCATCGTATTTGTGTTTCTCCTGCTATGGAAGTCAATGATTTCTAACATTCTTCAAAATATCTTGAAGTTTTCCTGTGTTTAACAGAAAAAATAAATGGATAGAGATTTAGAACCACAAGAGAGTAAGTAAATAAGAGTACATTTTCATTTTGGGTTAACTATTAGTTTACGGACAACATTTTTATGTGTATTAAAAACAATTCCAAAAGTAACTGATATTATCAAGTATCTGGTAACAACAAATGAATCTGAATTTAAAAACAATATCACATAAATTGTTACAACTTTTAAAATAAAACTTAAGCAGATGCGTGTACTGTACCTTGAACTTGCCATCACTGGAAAAAATGCTGACCCATTTGTTGTCATAGTCAGCAATGATGATGTCACCACTGGGGTGCACAGCAACACCAGTAGGCCGTTGAAGCTGTCCCGGTGATCGGCCTCTGATTCCGAAACGACTCTTAAACTGGCCATCATTTGAAAATATCTGCAAGAACACAATTTACATTCAACACTAAATGAATCATTTCTTCTATGACAAATGTCAGTAATTTGAACAGGCATTAAGCAACCCACAGAAAACAAGCAAAAAAAAAAAAAAGGATTTTTAAAGTGTGGAATTTATACCTGAACACACTGATTGTTACTATCCGCTATTAAGACTTTGCCAACAGAAGAAGCAGCAACTCCCTGGAGATTGGTAAATTCACCCTTATTTCTGCCTTTTGTTCCTTTGGGACAAAATATTTTTTATTAACATAAGCATTAAATGCAAATTAAATGCAAAACATTCCCCACTGAGGTTTCAAATGATTAGAAACAAAACAAATATATTTAGCCCAAATTTTCAGCATTCATGCAATCTTGGACCAAGTGTTTTGGTGCAGATCTGAGAGTAATTGCCATGTACACGTATTACCAAAGAAAGTGAGCTAAGGGAGAAAAGTAGTTGATTTTCTGACTCAATTATGAAAGAATCTTAAATGTGAGGTGTAAACCAGGCCTTCAAGATGTACACTCCTGATCAAATTATTAAGACCAGTAGACCAGTTTAACACAATAATAAGTGAAGTTTTGCAAACTAATTTCTAGAGGTGCATGTCATGGGATTGACTGCAGCTGGTCCCTATCGCTAATCATTAGCTAGCCAATCGGATCATTCCACATTCGTTTTGGAAGACACACACACTTTTTAAGCAGCACACACACTCACCCCACTTAGTTTGAACTTCTATCATGGTACTCCCCTTCACGTGACTGCCGTTCCTCTGACTCTGGTCTTTTAACAGTCCACTCCACTCGTCTGCACTCTATGGGTGACCGGGCTTTCTCATCCCTGGCTCTGAGTCTCTGGAACTCTCTCCCTTATAACATTAGACTAGCTGAATCTTTTAAATTGTTTAAATCATCCTTGAAAACTCACTACTTTACACTCGCCTATTCATGAGGAGTGCATTCCTGGTTTGTTTTATGTTTTAAAATATTTTAATGTTTTATCATTCTGAATGTTTTATCTTAAATAATGCAATTTTACTGTTATTCTAAACTGTTTTATATTTGTATGTTTTTGTGTAAAATGCTTTTGAAAATTATTATCATAAAATGTCTGTCAGTTTGAGACCATGAATGCCTTTCGGGAAGCAATCTACACCACATGGAATTAATGTTCCCAACTGCCTCCAGGAAACTGTTGAATAAAGCATGCCAAAATGAATGTTAAAGTGATAATGACATTGCCTGCTCTGTTTTTTTGTCATGTGCTTCAAGCTCTTCTTTTGGCATTACAACCTGTTGTGATCCACCAGAAACAAAATGTGAATACTTGTCATTTTCCACCTGGTCTTAAGACTTTGAACTAGAGTATACAGTAGGTATAGTTCACCCCAAAATGATCATATTTGTTGTTTACTCCTCTATTTGATCCAAAGCAGTTTGACATATATTTTTAAGAATAATCAGAAGATTTTTTTTTGAAGAAATTTGGAAACCTGTAACCATTATTGTCCATAGTTTTGTTTTTCCTGTTATGGAAGTCAGTTGTAACAGGTTTGCAGCTTTCTTCAAGATAGATTTAATGTTCAACAGAAGAAACTCAAAGTTTGGAACCACTTAAATATGCGTAAATTCAAAAGGCTGAGTGAAATATCCCTTTAATGGCCCATATGGATAATATGGTTCAGTACACTTTTATGGCTGTTTCCACTGTCAAAAGATACCTAAAAGCGAATCGTACCGTACCACTTTTTGGGCACCCTTTGAAAAGGGTACCTAACACGGCAAAATGGTACCAAAAAGCAGAGCAAGACGCGCAACTGAATGCTATTAGTTTATAGAGAAGCGTCACTCGTGCAGGATGAAAATAAAAGAACCTTCATATTTAAATTCACAGCCGAGACATTATATCATAATACTATTTGCATATAATAACAAGCCATGGTTGACCCGAGCTCAGACAAACCTTGTCGTTGTCTTGATAAACGGCCACAAAGCCACGAACAAAATCTGCAGTGTCCTGTTTTTGTTTTAAGAGGCCATCTAAAAGTGCGAGCGGTTTCACTTTCTCCAGAGAGCTTGCAAACACTCGCCGTGCATCTATATTTGAAATAACAAACTTCTTGAGCTGATGATAATAACGTGCGCGTGATTTTTGAAGTGCTTCTGACATCTGATTCTTTTGGAAATGGATAAACGCGAAAGTGAAGTGCGAAAAAACAAAGGAGAAGCCAAAAAAACAAATGATTCTTTCACCAACCTTAAACATGAACAAACTGCCATGTTTTTGAACTGTGGAAATATACATTTCTACAATCTAATTCCAAATGAACAATAATCTACGTATAACTGAAAAGTTATATTCTTTGGTTTTTAATTATATCATTTTATTGACATGCCAGCTAGGAGGGACATTTAACCTTTGCCTTGCTGACTACAGGCTAAGCCAAAGTGATGCAATTATCAGTTTCACAGCTTGGCTGTATCTATTGTCTTCTCTGTCTCCAGAACATCATTTGCACATTGTTGTAATGATGTACTTATATACTGATGAGATCAGACCTGGAGAAAGCATGGCACCCTGCAGACAACCAGACTTCATTTGCATGCTTTGTTTGACTGTCCCCACCATGACTAACCCCACCTACATGCTGTAAAATGTATAAAATGTATAATGTTTGCTGTGGAGTTTAGAGTTTGCTTTTGATGACGCCACAGCCACACTGAGTTCTTCTTATTAAAAAGGATTCTGCTTTGAAGACAACCGAAAGATTCTCCCTGGTTTTTTGGGCTCTTAGAAGTTTACAAAAGAACTCCATTAAGAACTCGGAATGACGGAATTACTTTCTAACAGAGGTTACATGTGCTGGTGAAGATTAAAGATACAGATGAGAGGTTTGCTCTAACTGTGGGCTATATGTTGCGTGTCGTTTTTAAACCCAAATAAGGATTAAACGTATGCTGTGTGTTGTTTTTCTGTAATTGGTAACATATTAAATACTGTAAGGGGCTTTATGTGTTCATATATGTTGCATTTATTTATTTATTTTATGTGATTACAGTAGGCTATTGCGCACTATTATTGATCTGCAGTTATAATCAAATCATGTTCATAGGAAAGTTAGTAATAAACATTTATACACAAGTATTTATGTGTATAAAGCATCTGTTTTGTGCAAAGTGCTTTTCATATGATGTAAACAACACACGTACAGCTTTACTTTGACATTTCCTTGAGCGAAAATGATGTCGACTGAAACTTTCTGTCATACAGCACACCCACCCAAAGGTTACCCTTTTAGGCAGTGGAAATGCAAGCCTAAAAGGTGGCCCGTACCAACTTGTACTGAACCAGTTAGTGGAAATGGGCAATAAGTTTGAGGTTTGAAGTTTTCTCAAACAAAAGCAATTGCCTTTAATAGTGACTGTCACAACATTGATTTCTAATGCTTATCATACCGATTCGGAATATAAGGTCATCTTCAATTGGGTTTTCTTTCCGTTTGCCGGTGCTGTACATGCTGGCAGGCCGTTTGATGGCCCGCTGCTTCACATGGCTGTTTCCTGGAGACTTGAGCCGTTTTTTGTCCACATCTGCAGTAAGAGAGATGTCTGTGGGTTTGTTGGCTCGTATGCTGAATGGGCTGCCCCTGATGTGCTGATCATAGAGCTTGAGGGTAAGCGTGAAGCGGCCCTCACATGGGACACTGTATACAAACTCATAAGTGCCGTTTTTATGATCCGTGACTTTGCCTTCACCCACGATGCTGCCATCAATAGCAGAAAGATCAGCTATGAGCAGAGCATTTCCAGTCCGACACAGCCCGCCGTCTCTGTCTTTAGTTGTTACTGTGACAGACGTCAGCTGTCCCACAATGCAGTGCCTCAGGCCTTCACCGGTGGCTACAGTTTCTGCTGCAACAGCATTGGTTGTTACAATGGCACCAAGGTTGTGGATGGATTTGCGAAGACCGTCAGTCTCCACCAGGAAGTCCAGTTGATTGTTCTCCTCTGGCCGCAGTGGGAGCTCCTGATTGGCCAGCTCATCCAGACGCTCGCTCATCTGCTTCTTGACCAATAGGACTTCAGCTTCAGAGCCGTGATTAAGAGCCTGTTCGGTGAAGCTGCAGCTGCTGCGTATGCCATCCTGCCCCTGCAGCAGCGACTCCAGCTGAGTTTGCAACACCTGCAAATCACATACAAGTCATATATCAGGCCTCTGTGAGTAAATGGTCACACTTTGCGATCCTTTTTCCTGCTAGTTTGATAAAATTTTGCGAGAGGTGGTGTTGGTGCCACTGCCGATTTACTGAACTGATAAGCAATTGCATTTGGTTACATTTGAGAAACAATGGACCTCTTTCACAAGACTGTCACGATGTGTTTAATGGTCATCAGCATCCTTAACCCTTAATTAGATTTTTTTTTTAAATGTATACACATTTATATGCATTTATGTATGTATTATCTTATCTTTGCGTAAAATTACATAAAAGCTTATAAACAAAAACAGTTATGTTTTTAATGCAGTGTCTACGGGCGGGACAGTGTATTTGACATTGTTCTCTCTTTTGGCTGCCTTATCAGTCTCACACAAATTTTTTTCTTTTCTGAATGTTTTGATATTATTTTCTTTGTAATATTTATATTATTAGAGCAAACAGAATTGTAAACAAATATTTGTTGTACTCTCCCATTCACTGCGCTTTAAATTCACTCAACTGTGATGACATCTGCTGCTGAGAAACCCAGAAGTGTGAAAAGGTCCATTATGTGAAAAGGTTAGGACACACCATTGAATAGTGGGACACACCATTCAATAGTGTTGCATGGCAGTACATAATAAAAAAAAAAATACGGTGCTTTGCAGGTCTCAATGTGAGTTTTTGACTCCTCTAAAGCATCCAATTACTATAATACGTTTATCTGAAAAACAATGCTTAAGTCAGTGATTCCACTTTTCTGCATGTATTTAGGACACGGTATACTGTAGGCCCGATAGTTATGCATGCTTGGCTCCTGTTTGTGTGGTCAACCTGGCAACCTACATGTGTGTGGAGTTGTCAGAGGAAGGGCTGGGTGAAAAAAACCCACTTCAGTGTTTTGAATTTGGACAGCAATACCCATGTCAACCACTATGTCAATTTTACATACTGTACCTTTTAAAATTTGGAAGATGATCAACATCACATAACATCTCACATTGTGTCGTTATTTATTTAGCAAAAAGAAATATGCAAAGATAGAAAAGCCATGTATGAGTAACTTAGGACATCTCATGGTTCAGATGCCTGTAGATCCACTTTTACTGTAGCAGTAAATAGCCAAAGAAATAGTAACAATACATACAATAAAGTAATAGGAACATTGACTGGACAATTTGTTCTTCTAAAACTTAACTCCCTGACAGGTCAGGGTGCATGTGTATTACAGGGATGTACAACGTACAGCATGTGCCAAAGTGTTGGATCTCCATACGATTAAAATTGAGCCAATAAAGTAACATGGAATGTTTTGACAATATTTTGATTCCTTTTCTGGATTATTTGTGTCTCTGACCATAACTGTTTATGGAAGATAAGAGAACTCTTGGGTTTTATCTAAAATATATGAATTTATGTTCTAAAGATACACAATGTTTTAAAAAGATTAGTATGAGATGACGTGAGGGAAATTAATAACAAAATTATTTTTTTTGCGTAAACTAATCCTCAGATATATACTTTAATATTCATGTACTTTATATGTGTAATCCAATATAATAATGCATTTTTGTTAAGAAAGTTTAGTTGTGGATTTGTGGTAAATGTCTGTTGAATTTTGTTTTTCATTAACAAAGTTAATCTCAAATTTTTATTTATAGGAAACTAAACTTGCTATATTAATATTATACGTTCAGTTTTACCAAATAAGACATCAGCTAGATGCTCCATAACTGTACATGTGCAACAACTTGTGTTTGGAAGAGACGGATTTGTTGGCAGCACTATTACATGCAGTCTGGTTACACAACCCGAGTTCAAGTCCTGGCTCTAGGTAGCCAAATGCCCAACAAGCTACAAATAAACATTCCAGAATCCAACAGAGATTAAAAGGTTTGTTCACACTATAAATATTTAGACCTGCACACAAACCTGCAGCCACAGAGATGCATCATCACACGCAGACAATGACACACATACCTCCATATAAATGGCATAACACAGTGGTCCAAATGTCTGAATCTGAGTAGATAAAAAATTTCAAACTGTATCTAAGAGAAAATATTTCAGATTCTGCATTATCTCCTGGGCCCAGTTTTTCAAAAAATGTAATCTGGATCAAATTGGTCCAGATTTGCAATTCCCATGTTTTATCATCCATGATTAACTGATCTATTTTCCATAACAGTTTTTTAAAGGAACACTGGGTTGGATCACTGTGATCCAAATTTCAAATTTCAGGATCACCAAATCCTGTTTGCCAGAGCCTAAATGGAACCAATAGTGTAGCCTACCGGCTTAGCAAAGAACAGGTAGGAAACAGAAACACTGCAATCAACAAACATTTAACATGTTTTAGTTTGTTCTAATACATTAATACTTTGATATTGTTTTGTTGTATACCATATCTTGACATGCTTCATATAGGCTTCAAATATGAAAGAATTTATATATCATCAGTAACGAATAAGAATGTGATTATTTATTTAAAAAAAAAAAAAATTTTTAATTTTATTTAGTAAAAAAAAAAAAAACTGAATCCTGAATCCATCCTTCTGATGGGAAACTTTCCAATCAAATGTAAGGCTGGATTACATGGCCTAATCTTAATTCAAAATCCCACTGTTACTTTTGAAAAAACCCATTTCCAAGATTTGATCCAATCCATGATCCAAAATCAGACTGACCTACTTTTGAAAACCTGGGCCCTGATTAATAGTCAAATGTTGTTTTCCATAATATATAACAGAATGCACATTGGAAATTTACAAAATAATCCTGGATAACATGATTGTTGGAATTTGCATAAAATTCTTGATACATTTTGGGGCATAATTAAAAAAAAAACAGTGATATTTATATATAAAAAAAAATCCCAGCACAGTGGGTGGCACAATCGCCTTACAGCAAGAAGGTTTCTGGTTTGAGCCCCAGCTGGGCTAGTTGACATTTCTGTGTGGAGTTCGCATGTTCTCCCCTTGTTTGTGTGAGTTTCCTCCAGGTACTCCAGTTTCCCCCAAAAGTCCAAAAACAAAGGTTTTAAGCCGAAAAAAAAGCGACTAAGCCGAAAAAAAAATGAATGAATGAAAATCTTTTGCTTTTAAACTGACAGGATAATGTGTAGAATTCTTTATACAGAAATACATTATTTTAACAAACACAATCAATTAAATGTGAACTATTTGCATGTGTGTAATGTATTGAAATAATACAGTATTATATACAATGTTTTAAAGCATACTGTATTACAATTACATTATATTACTTGTTTTTATAGTCCTATTTCCGCAGTATAGTAAAAAAAAGAATTCAAAAACTGATGCATGTACAAGTTTAAAAAGTGTTAAAATTGTCTTACAATCTTAAGCCACTTTAATTAAGTAACTACTGTGAATGTATTACTTAGTTACGTAAAAGCATGTGTTGTGATTTTTGCATTTATAAATCTTTTATTAAAAGTAAAATATAATTTTTTTTACCAACACTGCCCTTCATACATACAGTAGCATAACAGTAATAGGTTATTCACTTCGACAGATCCATGCTCTGATAAAACCGTCAGCCACTCGCAAACAGCACAGATTACATGCAGTAATCAAATCAAACCACACACAGCAGTCACAAATAGTTCACAAATGAGGAAAAACTGCAATTGGAATCATACCTCACCTCAACATGTTTATCATAGTCTTCTCCCATTACAATGCCCTTAGCTATCTGTGTGCCTGCTAGCGACTAGCTTTGGGCACTTGCTTCTGGCTTTGTTTACTTTGCATTTAAAGGCTCAGCTGACTAGTTGTTCTGGTTCTTCCAGATGAATCATTCTCATGTGACGCACATCCAGCTGCTGGACTTTTGTCAGACCCATCCTGAATTTTGTGCTGCAGAGTTATTAATCTGTTTAATCATTCACTATAGCAAGATAATATGAGAGATGTGGAGTGTGAAATAAGAGTGCTTAGAGTAAATGGGTCTGGTCAACTATATCCAACAAAATAGTTAGACTATATGACAATTAAAAAATTTGATTGAGTTTGTTGTTGTTGTTGTTGTGTTAAAATCTACTGCTGAAAGACTTGGATCAGAACATACAAAACAGCCTATTACTGAACAACAATAACAGTACAAATGTCATTAACTCTGGATAAGTGTACTAGCCTTCTGCTTGAGTCCGTAGTTGACCTCTAGCTCCATCAGCAGGACACTCTTGCGCACATTCAGAGTCTTCTGAAGCTCCTCAAAAGTAGCATGAATCATTTCTTCAATTGAACTCTTCTGACTGCTCAGTTGCTGCAGAATCTCAGACAGAACCTCCAACGCAGATTCAATTTCCGGCAGTCTAAAAAAAAAAAAAGTAGAATAATTAGTAGAAGAAATAGAAAACAACATGTTACATATGACATATTTTAGCTCTTATTTTAACTTATAATACATATTATAGGCACTACTAGGCATGGGCCAGTATAAGATTCTGACAGTATTATAACATTGAATAAAAATGTCATGCTTTTAAGGGATTGTAATTACTGCTCTAAAATATGAAACATTTATAATATTTTAGAACAGAAAAAACAGGTCAGGCTAATCGACTTCTGCGGTGTTTATTCGTTTCTAAAACACAGATTTATTTCCAATATAAAACAACATCTTTAGATATCTTTCCTGCTGGAGATAATGTTACTAAAAAAAAGTACACACCAAAAGAATCTTACATATACCATAGCAATGGTATAACAAAAAATTCTGGCGGTTTTAAAAACTTGACTTATCCAAACTGCATGCCTAGGAGCTACCAGTCAATAATGTCATAGATTTAAAATGTCAAAATACCTCCGCTATATTGCTACAAGCAGGGTCTGTGCGAATATGCACGAGGCACATAAACATTTTTAGTTTCCCAAAAATGAAAATTCAATAATAATAATAATAATAATAATAATAATAATAATAATAATAATAATAATTGGAACTATTGGAACCACTTGGTGAGTAAATTTTCACTTTTGAGTGAATTATTTCCACAAAAAAAATACATAAACAACAAATAACTTCAATCAGTAAGCACAAAATGTGCAGAAAATAGATCAACAACAAGCAGAGAAACAAATGTACACGAGTGTATTCATGTTACATGCCTGTTCTTGACCGCATCCAGCTGCTCCTGTAGCGAGGCTTTGTGCTGTTCTAGAACATCCTTCAGTGGGACGGTGGCATGTTCTGCGTGTTCACCACTAGTGCACTCTTCACACATGGCTGTCTCACACGGCGGACAGTAGAACTCCATGACCTCATGACAAAACAATAACACAGTGCATATGAATCTCCATATTACAAAATATTTAGATTTAGCCTAAATGAAAAATATTACTACAGTAATTTATAGTAAATACTATAATATTTTTGAACCATATTATAGTTGTAGTCCTACTGTGTCTGTGTTTCTGCTCTTTTCTGATCTATTAATGTTTCAAGAGTTCACACTTAGCTGATGATTGATTATAAGCAAGTTTGGCATGCTGTCCCGGAAGAGAGCCATGAGCTCGAAGGTTCTTGAGCCCTGGGCTCTCTCCCGTTTGGAGGAAGAGAGGGGAGCCTTGAGCTCAGGTAGATCTCGACAACTCCCCCTTGATAAGAGCTGATGTCTAAAAATTGAATGCTATTACATGCTATTGCGTTTTAAAATTACCTGAATTGCAAATTTAGATTTATCAATTTACTTGTTGTGCATGTTTTTGGAATGCGGGAGGAAACCGGAGGACCCGGGGAAAACCCACGCAAGCACGGGTAGAACATGCAAACTACACACAGAAACGACCACCGGCCTGTTGAAGGACTAGAACCGGTGACGTTCTTGCTGTGAGGCGACAGTGCTAGTCACTGGGCCACCGTGCTGCCCTATGGAGGGAAAGGTGAAAAGGTAGGGGTGGAAGGGGGGATTCTTCAAATCGAAGATGACTGTAGTGGAAAAACCTTGGCTTTTTATAGTGGGTTAGAAATGGCCTGATTGGTGGATCATGCATGCTAATGCAGAACCAGTCGTGTTCAATCATAATCACATGCTCCTCTCGAAATTAGTTTATGAATAAACTTCACTTATGGATGTGATGGGATCACATTAGCTTTCTTGTGTTCCTTAATCATCCTTATTAGTTGTCTTGGTTTTTCATTCTCTCCACTCCCTTGTTATATAGTTTTATATAGTTGCCCTTGTTTTCATTAGTTTTAAGTCACCTCCGCAATGTCTGCATGTTTCTTTGCAAATGTTTTCCTGTGTTTAGTTTAAATAAACCTACTATGAGCAGCATTACGATCCTCTCTCTTGTTCATTTTAAGCAGATGTGACAATAGCAATGTAATTAAATTAATATGTTGTGGTAAATCTATAGTTGCTTTTGTATTACAACATTCAATTTAGTATAAATGTTATACCCAATATTTTATTAACTTCTCTATAACTGTATTATACACCAATACACCAAAAAATAAAGGATCTCAGGGCTGTAAATAAAATAGCATGTACAGGATCATACATTTTACTATAGTATGGTTCAAAAACACTATAGTGTTTAGTCTAAATTACTAGTTTTTTTCATGTTGGAGTACATAGCCTATTAAACACAAGGTTACCAAAATGTCAAATTCCCTGACTTGTCCCAGGCATTTACAATTTCCATGACCTAAAATAAGCACCAAGCAGACAAACAAAAAAAGTAGTTTTTATCGCGTGTTGCCAGAGCTAACGTCCAAAACAAACCTGGACAGGAAGTGAGATTGAATTGCTTTATTTAATTGAAGAACCTGGTCAATCTTTTAATTAGCCTATAAAATGAATACAACATTGTTCATTCATTCATTCATTCATTCATTCACTCATTCATTTATTTATTCATTTTCTTAGGCTTAGTCTCTTACTTATCAGAAGTCACCACAGGATAAAAAAAACCAAATTTTTGGCATGTTTTACGCAGTGGATGCCGCAATCACCCATACACACTCATTTACACACACACTTATACACTACCGCCAATTTAGATTATTCAATTCACCAATAGCGCATGTCTTTGGACTGTGGGGGAAACTAGCACAAAAAAACCCACACCAACAAGGGAAAAACATGCAAACTAACCTAGCCAGGACTCGAACCAGTGACCTTTTTGGTTTGGGGCGACAGTGCTAACCCCTGAGACACCGTGCGACAATAAAACATTATTTAAAACATTAAATACCAATTCACTCACACAAAGTTCTAAGAGTTTAAATATGTGACTAAAGTATTAGGCTCGCAACCTTATAAGCTACATTTTCTAATCTGCCAGAGACCACATACAAGTTTATGTATTCAAACATAGGCTATAGTTTAAAAAAAAAGATTTTTTATAGTTAGCTATTATAACTAGCTAGCTAACAATATAGCTATGCCACTTTTCACAAATAAAATGACACTGAAAAATAGCCCAACAATAGGCAAAACCCAAGAAACAACTTGCTAAAAAAACATGGAAAGTCAAATTTAAAACAACAAGCAAAATAAACCCAGATATTGCATGACTTGGGAAATAAATATATAAAATATTCCCTGATGTTTAATGTCTGGACCATTTAAAATTGCATGTAATTCCAGAATTTTTATGAAAATAGTTAGTTTTTTTAGAAGTTGCACCAAAATTGGTTTTTAATATTTTTACAATTTATTTCAGTCCCAAAACACTTTGTTAACAGTAACTAATAAACTTAAGATGTTAATTAGCACCCTCCTTATTTTTTATTATATTTATTTACATTAATTACAATATATTATATGACATTATATTTAATTAAATTACAACATTTTATTATATCCAGAAACCAAGTTACACATACACCCTCAACCAAAAATGGAAACATTTTGATACAAGGAAATGAACCGACAGCAACTTGCCTGGAGGACAACGCTTCTAACATTCCATTAAGTGAAGCTTCTGTAGTCTAGTTATTTATTTATGCTGTGCAGGTCTTACATTTCCTCCATGATTGGGACAGGAGAGGGGCTGTCCAGTGGCCACTCCGTTGATAGCATCAGTGTAGTCCTCACTCAGGTTTGAGTTTGGGCTCTTCTTTAGCACCTCCATTAGGTTGGTGATGAAGAAGTTACTCTGAAGTGCCGCCACACCTTTCTCCGGTAGGATGGAGGTCTGACGGCACACCGGGCAAGACAGAGTCAGACTGTGGGAAGGAATGTAGTTTTGCAGACACCTGCAGCAATTTAAAAACAACAACAACAACAGCGTGATCGATAGGACAACCTCTGTGACGGTACTGTAACTGGCTCTTAAAGACATATTCAGTCAATGCAGTTTTCACATTATTAGAAAGATTAATGATAGGACGAAATAGAAATCAGCCACTAAAATAACTTAACAGAGAAAAAAAAGGAAGGGGGGAAATTCAATCAAGACAATCCATCAGGATTCAGGAGGTGACACACACACACACACACACACACACACACACACACACACACACACACACACACACACACACACACACACACTTGCACTCTAAAGTTTACAAATATATGTAAAATATTTTACATAAAGTGTTTACTTATAGTAAAATATAAAAAAAAGCCGCTGCAAAAGTTTAAAACCTTAGTTATTTTTTCTGCTTTGTGTTTTTAAGGAATCTAGTTTGCTCTGTGCAGTTGAACTACCTGCTCTTCTGTCCTGCAGATGATTCAGTTTTTTCCAGCATTTTCTGTAGATTTGAACCCTTTACAACAGTGACTGTATGATTGTAAGAGTTGTCTTTTCACCCAGAGGACAACTGAGGGACTCAAACACAACTATTAAAAAAAGCTTTAAACCCTTACTGATGCTCCAGAAGTAAACACTAGGCATTTATAACTGAGGGGTTAAATATGTTTACAATCTGAAGGTCAAGGTAAATTGCACCTAATTAGTCTTCCAGGAATTATGCAAGTATTTTCTGTTATCTTCGAAGGGCAGTGCTAAATGGAAAACAATGGTATTTCAACAAAATAGGAAAAAAATGGACATCATCATCATCATCATCATGAAAAAGTTTTTAGAAGCAGATGAAACTGCAGAAGATGCTGAAAACATGAATCTGCAGGACAGCATTTTTCTGTAGAACAGCAGTCAGTTTTAGAACAAACAAGTAAAAAAACACTTGTAAATCATTAGGAATAATTACATTTAAACTGTTTGAATACAGTAAACGTTGACTTTTTTTCTGTTTATAAGCAAGTCCTCATGTCTCTTCAAATTGAAACTGTCCTCCATTTTAGGAATTCCAAGTGAGTGACATCATTTACTGCTTGGTGCCATAGGAACAGTATGTTTTCTGGTCTGTGCTGACTTTTTTCAGCAGTAATTTTCTCTCTCTTTTTCTTTCCATAGCAGAAATATTTCAGCAGGAGTTTCAGCTCTATCAATGCTGTATTGCTAACAGTAGATTATCTATTTTTGTTTTATACGACTTGCTTGACTGAAATTGTACAGTATACACACATGTACATACTGTATGTATTCCAAATAAATATCTACAGGTGTCATAAAATCTAATACCTATTAAGACTTTAAGACTCTTTTCATAAATTAAGACCTAATGGCCAGATTTGCCACTTTAAGTTTCATTGGGTTATGCACACAGACTTTTAATTTCAGTCAGCCAGCCTCAGGGTTTCCGGTAAATGCTCTTTCCATTATAAAATCGCCACGTTTAAGGTCTGATTTCTTTAAAAATCAGTTATTTTCACTGCCTGATAGATATATACAATGTAAAGTGGGTTTCAGACCAGAAAAGAAGCACTGCATTAAATTCCTTTTACAATCACCATGTCTGTAAAATATAACAGTTAATTTTACTCCAGTATTTTTAATGGAGTTTTTGCGCGTGTCTACTGATCCTGATCTTTCATCTCATTTTATGCTTTGAACAACTAAATGAATGCGTAAGTCGATTCAACGGAATCTATTGTAATTACATTAAAATGTCGATGCTGTAAAAGGAACCTTAAGAAATTGAAAAGTCACATGGAGCTTCTACTGGAACTTTATCATTGGCTGAAAAACCCTAGCTGTTTACCCTATTAGGTTTCTAAATGAATGAGTGAGTAAGTGATGCACTGATCTAGATTTTTCATGGCAGACAAAATTTCATTAAACTTAATTAACTTATCCTCACATCAATATCCAATTTGTAAAAACAAAAATCAAAAATAAATTTCCCTAAAATGATTTATCATCTTTTAATACTTTAAGACACTGCTGACACCCTAAAATGATGATAAACATTACACAATATTACACAAATTTTACACATGATCATAAAAAAAAGATAACAATATTGACTTAGATTGTCCAAATAAAAACAAACCTTACTGATATACTAGAAATTATTTTTAATACCAAAGATTAAAAGGTTCAACAACTTAAAAAAAAAAAAAAGATTACACGGTTGAAGTATCTTTATTTGCTGACAACATACTGTAGGTCATGTCTGTTGAAGTACATTTCCCTGTTCTTTCATACAGCTTGTTTGTTTTTATTTGGCTTCTCTGCAGGAGTTTGATTACCATCAAGTGTCATCAATAATGATTACTAATAATTACTTCAGTGCCATGATGGGCCAAGTGATGGTGAAAAATTAACCCCGTGTAGCACTTTAATCCCATGTAACACTTTCTGTTGATAATACAAGAAAAAAAGCCTCTGAATATTCCCAACAGCTCCATCTTCTGGCTTGTTATTTTCACAACAGCTTTAAAACTGAAAGCTTATATTCTATCAACTGAACATGGTCAAAGTTTTTTAGTTGTTTTTTTATAGCAGATGTAATTTACACAACTAGTATATTATACAAATATTTTACTCGCATGACTATATTAGCTTTTCTTAAAAAAAAATAAAAAATTAAGGATTTCAGACTGTTTAATGACCACAAACTCCTCTGCTTACTGATATAAAAACTGATTTTGCATGGGATACTTCAAAGGATAACTCACTGAAAAATGAAAATGTACTCACTATTTATTTATTTCTAACCTTTTTATTTCTTCTGCCAAAAACCTGTAACCATTTACATCCATAATAGGTAAAACAAAAACTATGAAAGCCAATGTTTTTTTTGTCTTCTTGTGTTCAACAGAAGACAGAAACTCAAAAAGGTTTGTAACAAGTGAAAGATTACTAAATGAAGACATAATCTTCACTTTTGGGTAAACTATCTCTTTAATAAAAGCCAAATAGTAACATTTTCTACAAAAAATAAATAAATAATAATAAATAAATAAAAAATTGTGAAGGAGAGTAAGGCCTGGTTACAGTAACATTTTTTCCTGTAAAAACACATCTTTCAGTTTTGGCCTTCTGTCCACACAGAGATGAGGTTTTTTAGGCAACAAAAATGTATAATTTTGAAAAAGCTCACTAAAGTGGACATATGTGCATTTTGTTGTGTCCTGACAGGTGTCCTGTGACCAATTTCTACTCTCTTTTGCAAGTGAACACTCCTGTGTTACTCCATTTAACTGTTAGCCCATTTAACACAGGAACTAACAGAAATCTATAGCTTTTAGAATGGCCATAGCAGGTATTCTGACTGTTTTTATAAGTCTATACCGAACAATTTTTGTCACGTCATATTTACACTGAAAGCTTCTGTTCAGATTTTAGAATTTAGCTTTGAATTTCTGTCGTTATAATTTATGAAGCCATTACTCTAAAGATATGTGACCTACAAATAACAGTTTTTGTTTAAACACTTATTTAATGATAACATTTTGCTGTTCAAAAACTCAGAGGTGATTTGGTGAACTTGGTGATTTTCCTCAACATATTGGCAAAAATTTCAAAGAACTGGAAAGTAAATAAATTCCAGGCAGAAATGACACATCAAAGTGTCTTATTTCTTAATAAATGCGCAGTCCAGGGATGAAAGCATTTTCTGTTGTTTCAGTGTAGATGACCAACTTTTGGAAATGACAGACAATAATAGTGTGGACAAGGAGCGATTTTAGGTGAAAAAACTGTTTTCAAATATATCCAGATTAGTGTAGAAGTGTTTTAAACAATGTTAATTGTCATTTTTGTGTGAATAATCCCTTTAAGTTGTGCTCTGCCTTCTAAATGGTCTGGGTGGTACATTAGCTAGTGCTGTTGTCTCAAAACAACAAAAGTTAAATAGAAGGCAATGGAGTTTTCATTTTCTCATGTTTTATGTTCCTCTGCCAATGTTGCTGCTAAAAAGAATAAGACTGATGGCGCAAAAACACAAAAAGCTGCTTTGAAAACTACTGTAGACTGGGTGTCAAGTATTTGTTGTCTTTGGTGTCTGAGAACAGAGAACTTTTTAAATAAAAATCACAGTGACTACAAGAACTGTGACAATAAAGGAATTCTGTGTCAAGGAATTGCGGAGAAAGTAAAAATCAATGGGGAGGTTTAATGTTTTAGTAGATAGAAGCATTATATATTTTGCTGTTAGTGTGCGGATGGTGCCATCATGATTCTTTTCATTGGTCTTGTTTTCACTAATTTTATATCATGCTCCATTAAAACAATTACAACACAGAACTAAAAAACTGTATGTACAAAATACTTAAAATATAAAACAAATAGATAAATAATGAATCCGAAACCATTAAAAACACTACCTTTCACAGAAGGTGTGAAGACAGGGAAGGACCTTGGGATTGTTGTAGCGATCCAGACATATGCTGCAAATCAGGAACTGTTTGTCGATCTGACGCACCACGGGACTTGGGAGGGTAGAAGCGTCAGTGGCCATCCTAACACTCTATCAAATACCTCCCACACTCCTTCAGCCTGGGCCCTGTGGAGAGATACATGAAATCCTGAGTAAGCCCATAAGATGTAACCATTTCATTTCTATGAAAACAGGATATAATTAATTAATTAAGTCAATAATCAATACAAAAAAAAACCTGCATTCATTCACACAAATGGTACTGAGTGCAGCAGATCTCAACAATAATACTGCAATCTCCGTAATAAAGTTGAAGTGTAAGATGCTGCAGACTTTCCAGTGTGATGACATATATTTAACTGAAACAGAATATTATTATGGGGCAGATTTTTTTTTTTTGCTCTTCCTCTCATCTTTCACTTGCAGCCAAACTAACGGTTGGAGGCGCGTGGCTAAGCATTTCTCATTCTAGTCATCAAACTGACATCAGAGAAAGACATTTCAGAGCAGATGAAATGTCTTTCATCATTGCAGAGCAGATGAAAATGGTTGGAGTTTGAAGAAACAAAAACAAATAGTTTTTATTTTTAGTGAATTATTATGCACGGTTTAAGTGTTCACCCTAAGACTAACAGGTGTGTTAGCAAAAATAAATAAATTTAAAAAACTTCTCAATTTTGACTATATATCAAATGAAAATTCTAAAGGACAAAAACATCCTCCATGACTCAGGAGTAACCTGTCAGGTATATTTTCACAAACCATTTTTAAAATCATTTAAGTAATTTGGCTAATGATTTGTATTACACAGGTTTTCTGGGAGCCTGGAAACCAAATATTTAGAAAACTAGTTTCAAAATCGAAATTCTAGAAAACTATGCCATTGTTGTCTCTAAGACAAGATTTTTTATATAGATTTTGTGACATCAAATTAACAACAGAGTCAACAATAGCAAACATGTACTACTAGGAACATGTACTAAGGTGTGTATTGCTTTTTACTGTAAAGGTAACCTCATCATCTACAAGCCTGGAGTACATTATGCATAATTTTGTAGCCATGTTTGCAGCCCATTCTCAATGGAAATACGTACCTAAACAGACATTTTTGTTAAAGGTGTAATATGCAAGTTTGACACCCCGTGGTTGAACTTGGTATTACATTCCTGGATTAAAACAAACGCAAGCACAGGTTGCCAGATTGACGTTCAACAGGAGAGAGTCTGACGATTAAGCCTAAAGGCTGATTAAGGGCTGATTTAAATTGTGTTCTAAATAAAAGCAACGGCACGCAATAGGAGGGAATATTTTCCATATTAAATATATATATATATATATATATATATATATATATATATATATATATATATATATATATATATATATATATATATATATATATGTAATATCACACAAGCAGCAGTGCGATATGGTTGTATATTGGCACTGGTGGGAGGTGTGCGTTGCCACCAGTGCTGATATAAAACCATATCGCAATGCTACTCGTGTGATATTGAGTTTATACAACTGTTCGACGGCACAGTCGTGTATATAAATAAGAAAATCAAACTAAGAGTCTAAAAACCCCTTTTTATTAGGAACTATTTTCTTATTTCCGCCATTCATTCACATCTGCAGCTGACATCAAAACAGCAGAAGCTGTTACTATTTCACCAATGTCACTTTAGAGCCATTGTTTGAATGACTCTCTATAGCGTAATGTCTAAAGTGATGACAAAACAGCTGATTTTGCTCACACTTTAAGATTCTAAGGCTGAACGTGACATGAAATGCCATCCATCTACAGAGATATCTTCTTAGTGTCGCAGTCTACAGTATTTCTTAGTTGCAATTCGCATATCAAAATAAATTAACCCCGAAAAAAGCAACACAATCACTACTAGACTGCTGTTGTGTTTGCAATATATATATATATATATATATATATATATATATATATATATATATATATATATATATATATATATTACATTAAAAGGATAAACTGACAATGATCAACTCAGGTGCACCTGATATACTTTATTCAGGAATCGGTGTTAAATGCTAATAATGTGTTTGAATGCCATTTTACGTGACATTTATTGCCAAATTACTGAAAGCAGCAGCAGATAGTTCACCTCAGATCTTGAAAATAAAATAAATTGTTTGAAATCAAACTTTAGAACTGTGACTTAAAGTCAACACTCATCAGCGATATGTGAATGGCTTTGTTAGATTTCTGTCTGGTGCGAACAGCCAAATTGCTTGCACTGCAAATCTCTTCACGAAGCATGTTGTTAGGACACACAGTTACAATGCAACCTGCTCCCCTAATGTTTACACTCATAATGTTTATATTATTTGCCAATTAATAACCTCGTGAAAGTCCCATTTTGAAGGCTGTTACTGTCCACCAGAGGTCGCATTTGAAAATTTGAATTGAGAAAATATTTGTTTATGACCATTTTTAGTCATATCACACATTACAGTGAATTACAAATAAAATCAAGGTGTACACAACTCTCTCTGGATTTGCTGCATCACAGACATCAATATTTTAACAATTTATAAAAAATTACTCACTTTCTGGCCATCGGATATTTAGAATAGATCATGGATTGGGATCGTGATTTTTGAAAGTATCACACCGATTTGTATATATTTATAGTAACCATTTGTTGAGTCTCCACATGCTTGATAGAGCTCTTGGACCCTGAAGCTGCTTTGGGTAATGTCACACTTAACAAGCAGATACTGTAGATGTGAACAATTATACATCTAATATCAGCCCGATCAAAATGCAATTTATCCTGCATCCTTAACGAAGTTCCTAACATGGCTTACAATGAACTTTGGAATTCTTTTTGGAACAGCTGCATATAAGAACAATTGAAACAAGGCGTCTTGTTGCTACTGTAGGCTGGGGGTTATCCCCAGTTTTGTAAAAAACTATTTTTATTTTCAAAATGTATCCTACTGTACCCCTCAAGATGTTTTCAGAGCAGAAACAGCTGTAGCGGTAAATATTGCATTAGGCTTTTAAGAGCTGTCTGTTTTAATGCACACAGCACAGAAAGTCAGGCAGAAGATCAGGCCAAATGTCCTGAGTGCTGCTGAGCAGAGCAGAATCCTGCATATGTGAGTCAATCCACTCACCACAAAGTCAAAGTCTAAACACAGGCTTCTGGACAATATCTACATAACAGACTGGGGAAAAAAATGATTTATGGCATCTCATAAAGAGAAAATTGAAGGGTTTGTCTGAATTGGGTGCTGTATAACCCTTTTAAGATCCAGTGTATTCAAGTTAGAACTGTATTTATTTAAAAACTTTTATTTAAAAACTTATTTTTGGAATTCGAGATATACTTAATGTTCTTTTTAGGAAAATCACTTTTAGAAAACTTGCAATCCACCTAGTATAAAGCTACAAAACTAGTAGTTTACTAGTTAGTAAAGTTCAAAGTGTGTAAAAAAAAAAAAATCTGTAAATTGTACATTTAAGATCACAGAGTAGTTGCAGTAAAAATGAAAAACACTTGAGCTTAACATTTTTATTATTTAAGTATATTTAGAAATATGTTTTAACATTCTAATTAATAATAGGTAATAATTTCTAAGTGAAGCATTTCTATTAAAGTCTATATTTTAGCAAAGCATCCTAGATGGTTACAACCTATTTTCATATCACAATTCGGTTGCATCAATGCTTTGCCTGCAATCATTCTACATAAACACAGTTATAAAAAAAAAAGTCCCATAATTTGATCTTTTAATACAAACAGGTGGTCTTATTTAGTCTGTATTCAATGGTGAGGAAAACTGATAGGACGTTCTAAGAGTGAAATGTTTCAGGTAACCACAAATCCAGAAAAGTTCCATTCAAACCCATTTATTCAGTAACTGCAACCATTTCCAGTGTAATCCTCTTTGTTTTCTTTAAGAAGAAATAAACTCAAACACGTTTGAAACAAATGGAGTAGTAATAAATGATGACCAAATTTTTTTTTTGGGTGAACTCTAATAATCTTTAGTCTAACCTATGCAAAGTTATTGCTAATGAAAAGTGCTGTACTAAACCAGTACTGTTTTTTTGTTAAACTAAAATTCTTACGTTTTTTTAGGAATTATTTAATGAAATAAAATAAAATTGAAATATTAGATAACAATAAACTCAAGCAGCACGGTGGCACAGTGGGTAGCACTATCGCCTCACAGCAAGCAGGTCGCTGGTTTGAACCCCGACTGGGTCAGTTGCCATTTCTGTGTGGAGTTTGCATGTTCTCCACATGTTGACATGGGTTCCCTCCAGGAGCTCTGGTATCCCCCAAAAGTCCAAAGATACAGGCACAGGTAAATTAAGTTAGCTACATTGTCCATAGTGTAGAGTATGTGTGTGAATGTAGGTGTATGGATGTTTCCCAGTGATGGGTTGCAGCTTGAAGGGCATCTGCTGCGTAAAACATATGCTGGATAAGTTGCCGGTTAGTTCCGCTGTGGCGACCCAGGATTAATAAAGGAACTGAGCTGAAAAGAAAATGAATTAATGAATATATACATTCAGTTGAAGTCGGAATTATTAGCTCCCGTGTTTATTGTTTTCCCCAATTTCTGTTTAACGCAGAGAAGATTTTTTTAACACATTTCTAAACAAAATAGTTTTAATAACTCATCGCTAATAACTATTATTTTATCTTTACCATGATGACAGTAAATAATATGTTACTAGATATTTTTAAGACTCTTCTATACAGAAAAGTGACATTTATCTAGGCAGGTTAGGGTGATAAGGCAAGTCATTGTATAATGATGGTTTGTTCTGTAGACTATTGAAAAAAAAGTTAGCTTTAAGGGGCTAATAATTTGGCCTTAAAATGATTTTAAAAAAATTAAAAATGCTTTTATTCTTGCTGAAAAAAAAACAAAAAAAAAACAAAAAAACAAATAAGACTTTCTCCAGAAGAAAAAATATCATCAGACATGCTGTAAAATTTATTTATTTTTGCTCTGTTAAACATCATTTGGGAAATATTTTAAAAAGAAAACAAAATTCAAAGGGGGTCTAATAATACTGACTTCAACTGTATATAAGTAAGAAAATTAAATATTTAACAGTCCAAATAGTA